TGATGAGGCTACCCTGTCTAAATAAAACTATAAATAGAACTATTCGGTTAAATTTGCAACACTTGTAGTGTCATCACGACCGGTATTCATCACATCAATACAAGGTCCCATCCATGTCAGGGCACCGGCCGCAACCAAGCAACAAGTACACTTGTGTATGCATCAAATCCCCGTTGCTATGTACACACCTGTGGTGGCATGCACACACACACACAACCCCTAAGCCAGTCCGAGCTTTTAATTGTCTTCCCAGTTTAGCAGCTCCCAATGCACACACAATCCCAGCCACCCATAGTTGGCTGTTACAGAATCCCAGTGACTGTACACTAATCCCAATGTCATGTAAATCACCTGGACAACAATGGGATACAATGTGCAGTGAGAGTGCAGTGAGAGTGCAGTGGTATACATGACTATGCTTCACTAATAAACTGGGAAATGTACAGATTTATTTGCATGCAACTGCATACAGTACGGTACAATTAAACATAAACAGAGAATAAGGAGAAGCTGTCACGTTTGAAATGGAAATCTCCATCTCAACAATCAATGTTTACCAGTTTCAGCTAGCTATAGTTTGCTTTTACAGCTCTTCGAATGGAAAATGAGAAATCATTGTTTGCCTGGCCACTTCTGTGTAAAGTTACACTAGCATGACAGGGACTTTTGTGAAAAAAAAATGTAGAGGCAAGGGGTAGAATTGGGAAGTGGCTCGTTTCTTGAACATCATGTATATCGAAAATGGGAAGTCAATACAAAAATAATCTCTGTGAAAACCAGGCTTTGTCTGTCTATCAGATTAGCTTTAGAAAGATTTGTACATGTACAGATTTGGGAATTCTGAATGCAAGTTCACAAATAAAATTTACCGTTTTCAAGAGAGCCTAGATCAATACACGCATTCAAACTCCAGCTTTGTACCACAAGTAGGAAATTGTCTAACTTTTCTACAGAGTTGCACACCTGATGACTCATAATTCTCATATTTCTACTTAAAAGAAAGGGCAATAAAAACTCAGTGAGAAAAAAAGGTGGAAATCTCTTTGGTACATTCAACAATGTACATGATCTGTCCTGAGGTTGAGGATAAACAAATATGTACATGTTCATTTTATTTCCTTTTTGTTTTCAGCTAAGATTGACTTCATAAAGTATCCCTTTGTAACGGACAGATATTCAAGAGACTCATCAAATTCTGCAAAAGAACAGTTACAAACTTGTACATAGTGTATGCAAACAACAGGGGTAGATGTAGATATTTAATCAGCCTCACCCAGTCAAAAATATTGATTTCAAGACTTTAAGTACAGGCTACATGTAAATATTTACATTGGCACAGGCTTTATATTTCATGTTCATGTAGGTCCTTGGCTGAGATGCCAGTCAACATTTTGGACAACTTCACCGACATCTGAGCTTTCTTTGTTTCCAGGTGACATCAGTGAATAGGGACTTGATATGATTTACATTTGTTCATTGTTACATACTGTTTCTGGTTGTATACAACAATGCAATGACCATCTAAAGTTACTGCTAAAACATGTAGTTGTTACACAGTAGGACAACTCATCCAGTAAAAACAAAATTCTTTCAAAAAAAAAATTGTAAATTGTGGATACTTCCACTCCCAGTTTGCCAATTCCCCCACCTCCAGATAAAAAGATTTTTTAAACTGTTTTTATCATAAAAGCATATGAAACAACCATCAATCTTTTATTTGATGAATTCAAATGTTCATTGTTATTACAAAAATCATTCTGCTAGCAATATCAGGAATCACACCCTTTGCATAAGAATTAAATTGTCTCATGGTTTTAAAAAAAAAATATTCAGGTAATAAGGCACAAACTGATGACATGTGGAACAGAAGCGCCACACAGATGAGTGTCATGCAAACTACCTTACATTGTTTTAATTAAATTCACACATGGCTTACTGCGTGATCAATCATACTCTTGGATGCAAATCAATGGTTAAACTTTGATGCATGTGCAACTTTCATTGTACCTTTAACCTATTTATACAAGCTGTAAAAAAATAGCTAGCACCCCTTACAACCTTGCCCCATAACTTGGCTGTCAGACATGCGATGCAATTAGCAGGAAAACACACTTTGTGTGCTTGCTTTTTAATGCACCCTGGCAACCCCAGCCCCAGAGCCAACAGATAAAAGCAAGCCTCTTCAATCAGTCTGGGTTGGGCCATATTAATCTCCATGATCTTATCAGTCCAGGTGGATTTATATGGAAAGTCAATGGTATTATATAGCTAACAGCTAGACAGATGCATTGGAAGGTATACATTGTTTTTGTGCATTTTTTTTTCGTTTGAAACAACAAAAAAAGAAATGCTCCAAATCTTAAGGGTAACAACTAACTTGTTGAAGTTTCAGCTGGGTGAAAAATATACAGTGTGCCACGAAAGTGCAACATTCAAAAACAAATAATTAAAACAGTTTAAGAATAATTTTTTTTTCCTTCAATGAAATTATAGGCCTATATTACATTAAAGCCCGACTATTTCTCAATCAACTCCTTTTTACCCCAGTCCATTTGAGTCCCTAGATCCAGAAATACAATCAATTAAGTGTGTAACTTTTACTTGCGCCACTCTCACCTGGACATGGGCTGAAGCTGGGTTAAGAATTGAATACATGTACGCATTGAAAAGGCATTGAAGTTGGTGACATCACAGTTGAGGACCCAAGTAAAATGTACACCCTTCGCTTAAAGGGAATATACATCATTTGCTTTTGCTTTAATTTTCAGAAATGGATGGAATTGGGGGTTGGAAATATATAGCAAATATAGTTACACTGACTTTTTTGAGGTTTTGGGTTCGAAAATGCTATAAAAACCAAGAAAAACAATCATTTTCCTGTAGTCTGGTTCCCTGACTCCATTTAAGAAGAAACAGAGCAGTTTACTTACATTGGGGAATTGTCAGGTCAGGGAACCATTCTAGCTGGCTTGTACCCGTTCATAGGTGTTTAAACGATTGCAAACAAGTGCGATGGTCAACTGGGGCCAGTATTTGAAAAAAAGCCAGTTGTTTCCAATGCTGGTCGGCCGATCAGCGTTGGAAATTGATACAAAAATACCACTTTTCTTGAAAATGACGGTATACCAGGTGCCATGATTTTACAGGATGTTTTACACTGTCATTCACTAACAGTCCAGCAAGGTATTTCAAAATGATTTGGTAGTTTTATTTTTTGATGTTTGCAAATGTTGTATTTTCCCTTTAAATGATTTCTAAATCTAGTGACCCAAATGGAATGGGATATTTAATAATGTCATGTGCCAAACCTGTTTGTCCATGGATGGCTTTATTCCATCTGCTTGACTAAGCTCTAGCGATTGTTTACAGAAGAAAAAAAAACACTACACTAGACTTACACATGGAAAACAGAGTTGTTGGTGACTTGTATTCAAATAAGCATAATAACACCTTTCTTGTGATTATTTTCAAAGATTTTTTCACAACATATGGCTGAAGAGCTATACTTCACTACAGTGTAAAAAGAAGACAGTTCGAATAAGAGTAAGTAGGTTAAAATTCCTGTCAAAAGTGGGTTTCCTTCTTTTTGCACCACCCTGTTCGATACTAAAACCAACCCGGTATATGTACATGCAGGGTTGCCTCATTTCAAGAGGTGTGGTCTACCGACTACCATACTAAAACTTGGGGGGGGGGCCTAATTCCGTTTCGTCTTCATTGGAAAGTCAGAATGAAAAAGTCCTCGAGAAGAACATTTCACACTGTAACAGTTAGACTGCCTACATACATGTACATGTAGAAGTTCAATCATGACAGATTCTTTTTCAAAGCTTGAGAAAGCCTCTGACTTATCCAGCCTTCCGACTTTGAGTTGTGTAATTCAGGTCATTCCAATACAGGCTGTTATGGTTGCAGCAAGTTCTTCTTTTTTTTTTGGTCAACGTTGAAAGAAGTGTCCAAGCATCATTAATATGGAAAATGGACCAACAAATTTCATACCATGTACATGCGTGCACTTACTTACAAAGTTAGTATAGATTAGTATTGACAAAGTTTTTGTCAGAGTCACATTGTTACCAAAATGTCTGTGGCGTTAGAATTAAGCCAAGTACCGTATATAATGTAGGCCCCTACATGTTAAAGAGGTTGTGGAATGCTCGAAGACATTTCCGTCATTTTTCTGGTATATGTAGCCTAAGGTGTGTTGAAATAAAAACGACTGTTGTGTCTGTCATGAAATGAGTGCAAAAGGTACTTTTGAGAGCTGTTTTTCAGGTCCTGTTTCAACGTGCAATTTGTGTAAAAGTCGTCGTTGGGGGCAGCAAACAAAACATAGTACATGTAAATCGTTACGTAATAAACAGGACTCGTTTATACTACGCTGCATCGGGAGTCCTGTTTATTACGTCACGATTGACTATGTTTTGTTTGCTGCCCCCATGATGGAAATGTATGTCTTCGAGCATTCCACAACCTCTTTAAGCACTGGTTATGTACTAAAGATTGAGTTTTACTCTCATATTGTCAGTATGGTGAGGTCCAATGTAATTCTTAGTTGCTGCACTTGTTTCATTGGCTTTGCATTATTTTCTTAGTCTGAAAAATCACATGCACCTGCTTTTTGTTAAGCTTTTCAATTTTGTTTTTTCCAAATTACGGCCCTTGAAAATTTGGTACAGTCTTCCCAAACTCAAATAACCTATTCCTACACACATAAAAACAGTATCCTGTGTTCTACAACAAATCAGATTGTATTTATTTGAAAAGTACTTTGAGCTGTCATGCTTTTACAATTCAGGATCCGGGATGCAGTGTCCCTGATAACATGTACGAGTATAGCCCTACCAAGAATTTCAACGGCCCATACAAAAATCAAAGTCCATATAAAACAAATACCAGGATTTATCGCACCAGGGTACATAAAAATTGCATATATTTTTCCTGAATTACAAAACAATAGTTTGTCTGATGTTTGAAATTGCTTCAAAAAGTTCACTTACCAGTAGGAGTAATCAAATGTGAACTGAAAAGAAAGATAAAACAGAGTATTACTTTGGAAGTTTAATACAAAACTAAAAAAAAAAAAAAAAATTTTTTAGTGTTCTTTCAGTAAAACGAAAACAAATCACATAGGGATGTGTGTGAATTGTTTTCATTTTTGCTGAAAGAGCGCACACCTTTTTGGTGATCCGTGGACAGAACCTTAAAACGGTGGTTGTGTTTAAAATTCCGTGCATGAGTGATTTGAATGATTCTTGTTCTAAAAGAAAGCTTATGAATTGGGCTTTCATATCCTAGATTTTGAAAGTGCTACATGCAGAACTTCAATAAAACAATAGTCCCGACATTTGGGTTTCACTTTTTTTTACTCACCCTGTACAGATCATTTTATCATTTCCATTGCAACTTTATAGTTTTTTTTCCAGTAATTCTCTTATTGTAATTCCGTGGGGAAAAAGTTTAAATTGTTAAGGCACATGTACCAAGCAAAATGTCATAACTTAGGTAGGCCTACATGTATGTGTACACATGTGTCTAACCTCAATGCATCTTGATAATGTTTTTAAGTTTTGTAAGTGGATATCAGATGGTGTGTGTTATAAGCCTGTTCGGTATGACGATATTTCACGATATTTCGATTAAATTTTCATATCGGAAATCGTATCGATCTCATTAAAAAAATCGGCACATCGTGAAATTCGATATCCCGAAAAATATCGCAATATTCTTTTTGAGGTACCGCTTTTGTAACCAAAGTCAATCCCTTAAAGTTTAAAACTGTCGCTAAAGCGCTCCCATGAAAAACCGCAAACCACAAATTCACTGTTACCGCATTGTACTGCGAGGTCTTACCTATTCAGGGGCGGAACCAACTGACTAACGTCACGTGTATTGGATTTTGCATCTTCCACGCTGCACGTGGTGCAGTACAAACAACACAATTTCACCCCACATACCAAGTGCCAAAATCATAATCACGGGCGTGGAGTTAACCGAAGGGAAACAAAGTCTCTGACATTTCGCAAAAAAAATACGGTGCCTGTTTTGTTTTGACGGAAATGTGAAGCTGTACAGACAAAACACCACAAATACATGTGCTTGAATTGTAGATTACGACGTTGAGAAGTGAATGTTTCGTTTCGGCACACGGCCAAAAATTGTTTTCAATGAAGCACACCCTTGACCGCAAATGGTGTGGGCTGTACTTTGAGTGCACGTGGGAATCAATGTGGCGTGCATTGCGTGCTAGTGCTTCGTTCTTTCCTCGATATGGATTTCTATTTGCACATTTTTATCCAACATTTCAAGGTAATTTTCGATATTTGAATGTGGAATTTGTTTTCTACCTAAATTGGCAAGGTAAATGAGACTCTAGTCAAATAAAATTGACGATTTTGTTCAGGACATATTGGTTTTTTTTCGCGGCAGTGGATCGTGACTTCGATCGTGTGGGTTTTTTTTTGTGTGTTTTTTTTGTTATTCCATTGTTCCATGAATGGAAAAATGACGTCATCACGATAATATCGCGATATCCGATATTTTGTTCACGATATGCCGATTTAAAAATAAATGGATATCGAACAGGCTTAGTGTGTTATCCAATGTTACTGAATATGTGGGAAATTCATAAGACAAAACTGGAATCTGGTCCAAACGGTATCACAATTAACAATTGTTGACTGGTATGATGTGGGATATGACGTTTTGAACACCCGAGGGGCGCATAGCACCCGAGGCGAAGCAGAGAGTGCTATACACCCCGAGGGTGTTCAAAACGTCGTGTCCCACATCACAACAGTCAACAATTGTTTTGTTATACCTCTGTCTTTGGATTCTTTGACTTTTGATGTGAATATCACGAAAACAAACAGTAGTAAATACAGCAATTATGAAAATCGAACAGCAACTCACAAGTATGCATGGTGCGTGCTTGAAAAAGCTGATCGTCTGCTAGTTCACTGCTCCCACTCATATGCGAAAACATGGTGAAAATAGCACGTACCGTACGTACAAAGTCATAGCAACACTCCCTGTGGGATATCACGTACGTGATATCCCACAGGGAGTGTGCCATGACTTTTTATAAACTCCACACGTTTTCGTTCTAGGCCAATGAAAATACAGTATCCAAGACAGAGGTATAACAATGTGAATTATACAATTTAAAATAAATACTCACTGTTTTGGGTTCCTCTCCTGATGAACCAAGTCCGTTTAGTACAGGGGAAAGATGCATGTAAAATAAGGAAAGAACAAATTATTAAAAATGATGCAACACCTTTTAAAAACTCAACACGTACATGTACATTAGTAGGATTCATACTTAAAACAATTGCCAATATTTTGGTTCAAGTAAAACAAACTTGGTCCTGATTTTCCATCTATGGGTCCCAAGAATTGACTTGATTTAATCCTCACCTGACCCTATATTCCATGAAAGTAGAGGCAGCGCGACTCAAGTGTTGACTAAATTAATGTGTAGCATTTTTATTTCAATGTTTGTTAAAAAAAAAATAACAGAACACACAGATGTTGATGATATCCATTTTTCTTCATAACAGAAGAAATCCGGTTACCAAGCTGCAAGCAAAGCTAAGTGAATAGAGCCCTGCGCTGTTATTATGTAACAATCATTGAAACCCCTCCAGCAATGCGTATACATGTGTATTCCCAAATGAAAGAAACAAATCTTGATTGACTGAGTAAACTTAAAGACGTAACAATGTGAGGCAGAGTGCAATCAATAGAATCAACACAGCATGCGGGATGTTTTCCATCATAGAGCAAGGAACTGGTTCCATGTACACGTGCAGTCCTAAAGAGCAGCTTTTTATGGATAGAGCAGCTTTTTATGGATACATTGCATTCATTGTAAACTTAGTACATTCGCTAGTTAGTTCCTGCTCGAGGACATTTTGGATTCTTTTAAGTTGATGACGAGGATGAAAGGTACTACAAGTAGTACATGTATGCCTGAGGTCATTATATATAAAGTTAGGGTCCAAAAGAGTGAATTTTGTCCTGTCCCTGTTACATGGGCGTCAATCCTGGGAGAAGGGGTCAGGGGGACATATCCCCCCTTACTTTTTGAAGGATGGGGGACACCATATCAAATGTCCCCCCCCCCAAGATTTTTGAACTTGTGTGTCTCATTTATAGGGCCCTATTATAAGTAAATCCTTGGCATTAGATTGGAGGATTGTAGGTCACGCGGCATTCATTAATCGAACCATTTCATGGCCTACGTCATAACTGCGCATTTTTGGTTCCATTCACCGTGCATTTTCGTCCCATCCCTTTTGTTCTATTGCACACCGTGCATACAATGCGCAACGGCCCGGCGCTATGATTGTTGCGCTATTTAGACCACATCATGCGTTACAGCAGTACGAAACCTGCCTTTGAAGTTCATGCAGTTGCCCTGATAATTGTTTTACATTATTTTAAGAACTTACAATGTTAACTATGATTAAATGACTTTTATGACTTTTAAACCTTTGATAGCCTTGAATGAGCTTAAAAAGCGAGTGGATTATGATACATTTTGTGAGTTTTGTTTAAAGTGTTATCCTTTACCTCGTTGAATGGAACATTCAATCTTTCAACTCATGAAAATATTCTCACCACTGCACTCATAAACATTCATTATTTGTATACTATCGCCAGATTACTTTGTAAGTAGGCCCGAGGCCTATTATTGATTTGCGCTTGTCAGCTCCACACTCGATGAAAAATATAACTCAAAAATGATCTGTGATTTTGGACAAGTTGTTCGTTTAAGGCAATTTTTGTAATTTGACGCTGGATTTACATCCAGTTATATTTGGTCTGCCGACTCCAAATTTGTTGGAGAATGTAGCCACACTACCCAGCATATATCTTTTTTCGCATATGAGGTCGTCCCTGGAAATCCAGCAACAAAATAAAGAAAATAGTAGGCCTAATACTAATCGTGGGGCTTCTATAGCGCTTTCCATCGTAATAACAATCTCAGAGCCTGGTCAATTATTACCCCAGTCATCAGGCCATGAGACAAGGCGGCAACCAATATCAGCACTCAATTGATCTTGAACCCTCACGGGTACCCATTTATACTCTTGGGTGGAGAGAGGCAATTGTAGTTAAGCGTCTTGCCCAAGGGCACAAACACCAGCTCCTGGAAGGGCAGGATTCGAACCTACCCACCATTTTGCATGAGTCAAACCCCGTAACCACTGGACCATGGCATTCTACAAACAAAAAACATCAGCCGAGGGAAACGGTTTTGCCAAGGTGTTCGATCACCAACTGATAGCCTAGCCGCGTGATGTCTCTGTTCGCACTTCGTGTGACAGAAGTGCATAGTGCCGGCCACTTTTTCTGTTATCAGCCGACCAACGATCATCGGACACAATCGTCGAAAGCCACAACCAAGGCTAAGCTAGAAGGGAAAGCATGCCCTCCTCTGTGTAACTTTGTCACTCATTAGGAGATTGGTCTCACCTGAGCCATCGCCACAAAGAAGTTTAGTGGTTGCTCCTTTCATTTCTACGACGAGTTTGGCCCCTCTTTCCTTTTCCCTGTGAAGAAAAAAATGCATCTTCAACATTCAATTTTTGTGTGCTACGTCTCATTCAAAAGTGAATAAACTTTTGTTTAACCACAAATAAAGAAGTAAGCTTCCAAATTTTAAAAATATGGTAGTCTGTAACAGTTTCATCACTTTTCAACTAAAAACAATGAAAAAGTCAATTTAATTATTCAGACAAAAAAACTGAAGATGTCCCAACTACTTCAGCTGCAGGGGGGGAAATCGAATTCTGGTACAGAAGTACATTGATTTTTAAAAAATTCTTTCAGTAACATGAAATACCAGTTGCATTAAGTACATGTAGGTCCTTTTTGGGCACACAGGAGTTGTAGGCCAAACTGTCTGAATTATCTGCATCAGTTTGACTTTAAAAAAAAATATATTTTCCTTTTTACTCATCACATCACATGTAAATCATCCACAGTTAAAGGTTTACCACGCACCTGGAGTTGAAGGGCCGAACTCGTACTGCCACCTTCACGCTATAAATCAAAGGAAAGCGGAAAATACAACATTAATTAACTTTTGAAAGCATAAAATAGATTGTGAGTACCATTGAAGCCCCAGGAGTTCGTCTTTGACACGTTGAGAAGCCAGTAGGTGCTAGGTACATTTTGTCGAACCATTGCCATGATTTTGGCAACTTTTTTGAGCTGGATACTCGTGAAAATAATGGTTTAGAGATTGTACGAATGTACGCCCACTATTTGATTGTGTGCTAGTACGACCAAACAAAGTCCGAGTCAAAATTCGGGGAAAAAAGAGTTCTAGCGTCCCAGTTACTGGGTCTAGCGAGTAACATGCAAGAAAGAACACAGCCCTTTTCATGAACCGGTCTCACATTTCTTCTCCGTTCTTAAGCCAGCAGATTGTAAAGCACCCTCATTCATGTGCATACGAGTAGGCCTACACCATATAAGTTATTAAATTACCACTTCTCGTTGAGCGAACACGTGGCCTAGTGGATAGCGCACGCCTTGCAAGCACGCCGTTCGATTTTGAGTCCCAGCATGACCCATATTTTTTGAAACTGTATTTTTTTTTGTGTCCCAAGAAATAAGGATTAATTATAATAATACCTGAGTCTTATATAGCGCACGTATCTACCAACAATTAGGTACTCATGGCGTACTTCCACAACTGTAAGGTTTTTTACAAACCTTACAGAAATACCAATTGAAGTTGCTGTAGCAGAAAATTCTCAATTTTTCCCGACCTCCGAACTCCTCTGTCACAAAATGTTTGGCCTCAGCATTTCACAAGTATTATCTTGATGAGGATTGGTACCTCTAGATCTAGGGTGGGTTGAAATCCCTCAAATGTCAAACAAAAATGTGAAATGTACTAGAATTTTGTTCACCAGGATCACCGGAGTCTCGCACTCGGCCGTCTCGCATGATCGTTTGCCGTCGACTGAGGCCACTTTAATTCTCTTGACCAACTATAGCCCCATAAATGTGGCCTATTTACTGGACTGCCTCCGTAAACATAGGCCACACGTCCACACGTACAAAAATCATGTCGACTTTGCCAAAACTTTGATTTTCACATTTAGGCTTGGTTTGTAGGGTTTTTTTGCTTTAGAAGCATACTCACCCTCTTTATAGGCTAATCAGAAAGTGCTGCCTTTTTAAGATGTATATTTTTCGTGAAATTTCCAGATTCATTTTTACACGTTTGCGTATCAAAATTTCAACATGAAATTTCACAAAAATTAGACATCTGAAAAAGGCAGCACTTTCTGACTAGCCTATGAAGTGGGTGAGTATGCTTTTAAAGCAAAAAAATCCTACAAACTAAGCCTAAATGTGAAAATCAAAATTTGGCAAAGTCGACACGATTTTTGTACATGTAGACGTGTGGCCTATGTTTACGGAGGCAGTCCAGTAAATAGGCCACATTTATGGGGCTAGACCAACTACAGTCCGGGTTTCATTTCGAGAGTGTCTACGTGCCTCGCACGATGAAATGAAAGCCGCACTGTAGTTGGTCCCACCCAATAAACAGTTACTGTGCATTTTAAATGCCGGTACAATACTGAAAACAATCAGGGACCAGTTCACTGTCTAATAAATATCTTTTACTTTTAAAGCTGTTTAGCTGTAATACTAATAAATGAAATTCTTGAGCCGTAAATACTTACGATTCTCCTCCACCCGACATCCTGCTGTTCTATGTGTTCCAGATCAAATAGAAAGCTCCTCTTGACAGCGGTCTTCCAGGCACCAACCGCACCACTCGAGGCCGTGTGCCCAGCGCTCCCGGATCCCCCACTTGATACCGCGTCGAACCGAATACACTTGCTGAGTAGCAGGTGAACCGAACTGAGTTACACTTGCAGAGTTGCAGGTGTCGCAACAAGTATCCAAGTTTCTGCAGGAAAATCCTTACATTAACCTCACAGTTTTACATTTTTTGGAGCACACTGCAGTGGAAAGTCACACTCATCATGTGTATCAATCGATAGTAGGCCTACGTCATTGACTCTCAATATTCCGGTGGAATTAGTCGTGTATTGACAAAGATTTCCATTCATGTGCGGCCACTGTGTTCTCGCTTCCCAGGCAACTGGCCGATATACATGACGTCACTAGCGTGATTGATTGGACACTTGTACAGTTGCGGATGGTACTTTGAGCTCTCACACTGTGGGAAATAAAGAGCGCCCTCATTAGTGGGAGCAAATCTAGTTACTCTTTGAACAAAATTTATTGTGAATGGTGCTGATTTTCAATTTTATAAAACAATAAATATAAAAGAATTAGAAAAAAAGTCATTACATTTTCAGCGAAAAGAATTTGACTGTATTGAAATTCATCGTCCACCAGAAATTTTAGTATTTTAGTCTTTTGCATGGGAATGGCGATGTGCATTTTGTGTGTGTGTGGTTTTTTGATAACATTTTAATTTTATTCAAATTTTTTCATGCAATATGTATTTCATTTTGTCGATATTTCCATGTACTGTTTCTGACCGAATACAGTTAATCTGATAGACTACACGACTTTGGAGTTATAAACCAATATACATGTAATTTATCTAAATAACTTAACATGTAGGTCTTTTGCGAATTGCATGGATTTGGCAATGCGCATTTCTTTTCTCTTTTTAATGGTAAAAATTATCTTTTCAGGCAAACAGAAAACCACAGACAGTACTAGGGACTAGAACAATAAAATGAGATGACACTAAATTATGCCTATACTTTAAAATCTGCATTTTTTTCACCCCAGTTATTCCAAAAAAAATTAATGTTATTTGTATTTAATGACCATGATTTCACTCATTGTAAGCCGCCTCCTAAATTCCTTAATACATGTTCTCTTTTCGATCGCCTATAGAGCGCCAAAACAAAAATGCAACATCGTCAGTCACAAACGGATGCCGACCAAGTTCATCATCAAGTTTGTTTTACTATAGGTTTTCCCGGCCAATTCCTAAAATGTTCATTCACTTCTGAAAATCGGTCATTCATTTTCGTCTGAATTTGAGAATCGCTCTAAACACGCCTTTATGATTTTCGGTTCAATCAATTAAGTGATTGAGCAGCACCTATCGTTCATGTTCATTCAGATTCGTTTACAAGACTTCTTTTTCGCTTTTAGAGGGTGATTTCAAACATTGACCATTCTATTTCACTTTTGAATTAGAAAAACGTACTTTTGATTTCACATTCACGAAGTAATTCCAGAACTCTGTGCGGAAAGGTATGCTTGCGTAAATGAATGCACAGGTAACGTAATTGGCCGTCTGTTTTTCAAAACCGAATGCACGGACAATGAAAACGATTGAAGCTTTTGTTGAATTGAAATGGATTAAAGACGTGCATTCATATTCAGACGAAAACGAAAGACCGATTTTCAGAAGTGAATGAACATTTCAGGAAATTGGTCAGGGAAACCTATATTATCAAAGCAAAGTCATACGAGGGCGCCATTACCTAGTGCATTGATTTCAAACATCCCCATAACAGATATAGTGGATGGCACTATTATTTATATAGGCCTATAGACCATTATCATGTTCGGCCATCTCGGTTTTTTTCCTATTCAAATCAACGTAACCAGGGTTCGACCTTAACTTTTTTGTTCACTAGCCAGCCGGGCTACTGAAACCCGCGGGCATGCTCACTAGCCTGCATGTTTTTTTTTCTTTTATATTCTCTCATTTTTTTATAAACAACAATGTGGCAATGTGCATACATGTAAAACATGCATAGGGCCTGAAAGTTGACCCCTGGTGGCCAGGCCCGGATAGGCACTGTGCCTAGGGCCTACGAAAAATTTGGGGGCCTACGAAAACTTGGGGGAGGGCCTACATTGTAAGTAAATACCGCAGTGTGCCATAACTGACATTGTACAATATGCATTGACCCCACGTATAAAATGTACGTGTAAAGTCTGTCGTTCTGAAGCACGGTGCCAACCATGGGCGTCGATCGGTGGGGAACGGGGGGGACTGATGTCGTTCTCTAACGTTTTTCGTCCCTGAATAAAAATACGTAGCCTACATTTGATTTTATAGCTCAGAACAGCTGATTTAATGACTCCAAACTCGAAAAAGATGTTTAAATGATGATCTTGTGCTAATACTTTGGCAGTCGTCGTCAGAAATTGCCTCAGATCGCACCACAGGGCGCCTAGAGTCCAATTTTTTTCAGGGGCCCTTAAGCGGGCCTCGAACCCCGCGCCGTTTAGGCTTCGCACTCGCACAATTAGTACTGATCAAGATACACATGTATGTACCACCCCCACTTTGAGAAGCGAATGACGCCCTCGAGAATTGGTGCCAACAGGCTGTTAGAGCTAGGACCTACACCAGTTTGGCCTGGCTTGATTTGTACAGCCCCCCCCCCCCCCAACAAAAGTGTGTTCTGGATCCGTCCTTGTACCCCCACTCCCAATAGGCCTATAGGCCTACCACAGATTTTTATTATGTGTTTTTTTGTAGACAGGGACATTTTCCGGTTCTTATAACACGATTTTCTTAGTGTATCCAACTTCAGGCGTTGATTACTCATAACATGGTTTTGGGGGACATTCCTCAGTTTGCCACATTAGGTCACAAATGTGCCCCCTCGAGATAAACATAAAACAGCCCTCAAACGCACATGAAAGCATTATGATCGCGTTTAACTCGCGCATCAACAAGATTGTGAATCTTCTCGAGATTGAAAACTATCCCTCGAAAACACGAATGACCCCTGTCGCAATACAACAATGTGTGCCCCTCTCAAAATGGAAAACTGGCCTGTAAAGAAATAATAGTGCAATTACGCTTTTAAACACTTTTAAAAGTGTATAACAATGTTGGTAGTAAATTTTGCTCTGGGTAACATGTATTCCTTGCAATGTGAACGAAAATAGTTTCACAATTTTCTCCTCTTTCACACCGACGGAAGGTGCCTTTTTTTTTTTCGAGCAAATGCCTCTTTTTGGTGATGGCCCCAGTTTTAAAAACGTTCCGCCGCCGCCTATTGGCGTATTATTTTGTACAGGTGTAAGTACAAATTACACAATACGACCCCAATTTAGATCGTTCAGTCGCCAAAGGTTCATGATTTGTTTTGTTTCATCTCAAAGGCCTTTTCATGACCGAAGACTTGAGTCAAGGCGTATGGCAAACCGGACACGAAAACAAGAACATGCGATCAAGTGGCAGGGCGTCATCAGGGGCGTAATTCCCGGGGTGGGGGTGGGGGTATATATACCCCCACACTTTTTGACCGCGGGGATGGGCTATTGAATCATCCCCCACTTTTTGTGATGAGAAAAAAATGAGGATTTTGAGCTATTTTCCGAACGTCCCAGCAACTAATATGTATTCAATAGCACTGGAAATCAATAGCACTGGAAAGTGGAGAAACAAAGTACAAAAGGTTCTAAAAATGTAAGCGCGAGTATACATAATTGATAAAGAGCGTCCCAGTAATTTGGTGTCTAGCCCCCCCCCCCCCCCCCGCGGGCCCTCCCCCCTTTCGGATGTCCACGGCCGGGCAATTCGGGCGTTTCATGTGCCACCAAGAGTTTGCCACGGAGAGTTCATTTTTCCTAGTGCACTGTTGTGGGAGATGGTCGACAAATTCGCAGCGCGGGACATTTGAAATTGTTAGTTTTTTTTTCCGGTCAGTAGTTTCGTAAGCGTATGATTCGAGTATAGATTTGCCTTGTTCTTTTCATTGTATCAATATGGTGTTTTTAGTAAGGCGGCAGAACGCTATACCCGAATTTATAACCACTTAGCTAAAGTTGTTTAATGACACTCATTCAAATGGGCCTTGTTCGTCGACTGTTATTTGAAAAACTGACTCTCCATGGCAAACTCTTGGTGGCACACTGCATTGTGAATCGCCCGAATTTTATGATTTTGGTCATCCCCCATCCGGTCCCCCCCCCCCCCCCCCCAACTCGCCAGAACAGATTTACGCCACTGGACGTCACTGCACTCCGTGGTCACGTGCACGATTCTAATCATACCACCGGCTGACGTTAATGTGACATTGTTTATAATGGCATCATTCCCTAGACTTAGCGTAAGTACAAGAACAAAAATTCCCCCGTAAAAATGTATAAACGGGTCAGTAGTTTGATATAAATATAATGTGGTAGGGGAAACTTGCTAGAATTTCTCTCAATCATAGCGACATGTCACTGCCGGCCAAAAGGCGCGCGACGCGAAACAATAATTGATGAGACACAATAAGGACGAGCTTGCTCGTAGTGACTCTGAATAGTCAACTGCTCGGTACATAAGAATGATTGTAGAAAAGAATTACGTAACAGCATTCATGTTTATAGCATGCTGATGCGTCTTTCATGCAGCTATAAACACAAAGTAACTCTCCCACTGCGGAAATAAGGATTATGTTTTAAACGCGAAGAGAAAAGCACCTACTGAAACAGCCTAGCTGTTAAGCTGTCTGACAGCGGACCCAGGGTTAGCGGTTCGAAACCTGCTTGGTGTAATTTTTTGGTTTTCCATGCCCGCGGTTCTGTCATTTAAGAGTATTAATTTCCCGTCGTCATTTACCAACAGCAGTTAGCTCGATCGGTCGGTAAGCTGACTCACAAGTTGGGACTGTCTGCGAAGTCCAGGTTGGCATCTGCGTATAGGTACGGGGTTCTTTTGCTGACTCGGCAGCAAGGCTTAGGGTGCCACCTCGTTTCCTCCCTTTATGGTGCCTGACTTTCGAGTTACATGGATGGACAGGGAAGGAGGTGTGGTGGGCCGGGTACCGAGTCCCGGAAGAGTTCTATATGGAAGTCGGTAAGGGGCTCATTGAGTTAGGGTCATAAGTCCGACTCCTGAAGACTTGGCCATCGCCACATAACTTTTTGTTTTATTTTCTTTCTTTTCTATCGGAGGACAATTGCAAAAATTATTAATTTGTTATATTGAGAACTTGTACTGTAATCGTTCGAAATTTATTTTAAAAATTGGTCGAAAATACAAAATTCAATTCAGCTATAATGTTTTTATTTCATTGTCGCAAAACTGCATGTACATGCTCAGTACCTTTGCGCATACCTTGTTCAGGCCTGTTCCCTGTTCACAGACTGTATGGGGGGGGGGTCTTTAAATCCT